AAGTGGGGGTGAAAGGGGTTTGGGTGTGGTGACAGTGGAAAGAGTGGGGTGAAAGTAGGGGAAAAGTGGTGAAAAGTGGTGGGGGTGTGGTAATAGTGGGGGAGTGGGTGAAAGCGGTTGAGTGTGGTCACAGTGGGGGAAAGTGTGGTCACGGGGTGGAGTGTGGTCAATTTGGGGAAATTTTGTGAATAGGGGTGGGGGTTTGGTGACATGGTGGGGTGGGGGGTGACATTGGTGGAGTGTGGTGTTAGTGGGGATGGGGTGGTAGGGGTGGAGTGGGGTTGGTAGTGGGGAGTGTGGTGACATGGTGGAGTGTGGTGACAAGTGGGGTTTTTTTTTGGGGGGGGGAAAAAAAAAAGGGGTGGAGTGGGGGAAAATGAACACCTGCTACTAAAGGGGGAAATCCCTGCTGTTTTTTTGGGCTCCCCCAGTGATAAACACGAAACAATATGTACTAGACATTATCTCTCAAAACCATGTACTGTAAACCCCAAACTTTAAAACCAAAAAATTTTAAAACTCTTAAACCTTTTGCACTTTTTATGTAAAAAAAATATACCTATTGGTAAAAAAGAATAAAAAAAGGGGTGGGGGAAAAGGGAAAATTTAAACGGCTTAAAGGAAAAAACCCCCCCAAAATTTTCTTCCTTGAACCCTTTTTTAAACCCATTTCTCAAAAGGCTTTTGGTCCCTCAATTTCATCAAGGGGGAAACCCACACACACCCCACACACACAAATCAATATATATATTTATTTATATAAATATATATAAATAAAATAATAAAAATTTTAAAATATAATATATAAATTAAATATATATATATATATAAATATTATATATATTAATTTTATTATATAAATATATAAATATATATATAAAATAAAATATATATATTTAAATATTTTTAAAAAATGTATATTTTTAAAATAAAATATATATATATATATATATATATATATATATATATATATATATATATATATATATATATATATATATCTGTAAAGGAAGAGTAGCGCCAATTCCTTGGATCAAATGCCATTCATCGGTATCAAGACATCCTCTGTGAAGGACAGCAACTTGAAAATTCGATTATTCGTCATAAATCAGTCCAGCACGAGGAAAATTTATGGTCATTGCAGGAAAGTCAATTTTGTTTGCTTATTTCGTAAAAAAAATGCATGAAAGGTAGCGACTGTCATTAGTTAATGAACAGGTAGCACCTTCAGGGCAAATTCTTTCCTTTGCTTTTTTTGCTACTCATTTTTACTTTTTACTCCTTTTCAGCCTTCACACACACACACACACACACACACACACACACACACACACACACACACACACACACACACACACACACACACACACACACACACACACACACACACACATACGTGAATGTGTATTTGTGTATATTTGAACGACATGATGGAAGGGATAGACTCAGAAGTGTCCCTGTTCGCAGATGATGTGAAATTTACGAGGAGAATTAAATTAGATGAAGATCAGGCAGGACTTTCAAAGACACTGGACAGACTAGACACCTGGCCCAGCAACTGGTTTCTTGAATTTATCCCCGCCAAATACAAAGTCATGATGATCGAAGAAGGGCAAAGAAGACCGCAGACGGAATATAGGCAAGGTGGCCAACGACTGCAAACCTCATTCAAGGAGAAAGATCTTGGGGTGAGTATAACACCGAGCACGTCCCCGGAAGCACACATCAACCAAATAACTGCTGCAGCATATGGGCGCCTTGCAAATCTCAGATTAGCATTCCGATATTTAAGTAAGGAATCTTTCAAGACACTGTACACCGTGTACGTCAGGCCCATACTGGAGTATGCAGCACCAGTTTGAAACCCGCACAGGATCAAGCACGTTACGAAATTAGAGAAAGCGCAAAGGTTTGCTGAAAGGTTAGTTCCAGAGCTAAAGGGAATGTCCTCTAAAGAAAGGTTGAGGGAAATCGGGCTGACAACACTGGAGGACAGGAAGGATAAGGGAGACATGATAACGACATACAAAATACTACGTGGAATTGACAAGGTGGACAGAGACAAGATGTTCCAGAGAGGGGACACAGAAACAAAGGGTCATTCTTGGAAGTTGAAGATTCAGATGAGCCACAGGGACGTTAGAAAGCATTTCTTCAGTCATAGAGTGGTCAGGAAGTGGAACAGTCTGGCGAACGATGTAGTGGAGGCAGGAACCACACATAGCTTTAAGACGAGGTATGATAAAGCTCATGGAGCAGGGAGAAAGAGGACCGAGGCGTTCAGTGAAGAGGCGGGGCCAGGAGCTGAGTCTCGACCCCTGAAACTACAATTAGGTGAGTACGCACACACACGGACACACACACACACACACACACACACACACACACACACACACACACACACACACACACACACACACACACACACACACACACACACACTCACACACACACACACACATGACGGAAGGAATAGACTCCGAGGTGTCCCTGTTTGCAGATGACGTGAAGTTGATGAGAAGAATTCACTCGATCGACGACCAGGCAGAACTACAAAGGGATCTGGGCAGGCTGCAGACCTGGTCCAGCAATTGGCTCCTGTAGTTCAATCCCACCAAGTGCAAAGTCATGAAGATTGGGGAAGGGCAAAGAAGACCGCAGACGGAGTACAGTCTAGGGGGCCAGAGACTACAAACTTCACTCAAGGAAAAAGATTTTGGGGTGAGTATAACACCAGGCACATCTCCTGAAGCGCACATCAACCAAATAACGGCTGCAGCATATGGGCGCCTAGCAAATCTCAGAACAGCATTCCGACATCTTAATAAGGAATCGTTCAGGACCCTGCACACCGTGTACGTTAGGCCCATATTGGAGTATGCGGCACCAGTTCGGAGCCCACACCTAGCCAAGCACGTAAAGAAACTAGAGAAAGTGCAAAGGTTTGCAACAAGACTAGTCCCAGAGCTAAGAGGTATGTTCTACGAGGAGAGGTTAAGGGAAATCAACCTGACGACACTGGAGGACAGGAGAGATTGGGAAGACATGATAACGACATACAAAATACTGAGAGGAATTGACAAGGTTGACAAAGACAGGATGTTCCAGAGATTGGACACAGCAACAAGAGGACACAGTTGGAAGTTGAAGACACAGATGAATCACAGGGACTTTAGGAAGTATTTCTTCAGCCACAGAGTAGTCAGGAAGTGGAATAGTTTGGGAAGCGATGTAGTGGAGGCAGGATCCATACATAGGTTTAAGCAGAGGTATGATAAAGCTCAAGGGTTCAGGGAGAGTGACCTAGTAGCGACCAGTGAAGAGGGGGGGGGGAAGGAGCTCGGACTCGACCCCTGCAGCCTCAAATAGGTGAGTACAACTAGGTGAGTACACACACACACACACCCTGTACACTGTACACTGTGTACGTTAGACCCATATTGGAGTATGTAGCGCCATTTTGGAACCCTTACCTAGAAGAGCATGTAAGGAAACTAGAGAAAGTGTAAAGGTTTGCAACAAGACTAGTCCCTGAGCTGAGGGGTATGTCCTACGAGGAGAGGTTAAGGGAAATCGGCCTGACGGCACTGGAAGACAGGGTAGATAAGGGGGTATGAAAACGACATATAAAATACTGTGAGGTATCGACAAGGTGGAAGGAGACAGAATGTTTCGGAGATGGGACACAGCATCAAGGGGTCACAGTTGGAAGTTGAAGACTCAGATGAACCACAGGGATGTTTGAAAGTATTTCTTCTGTCACAGAGTTGTCAGGAAGTGGAATTGTCTGGGAATCGATGTAGTGGAGGCAGGATCCATACATAGCTTTAAGAAGAGGTATGATAAAGCTCATGGAGCGGGAAGAGTAATCGAGTAGCGGCCAGTGAAGAGGCGGGGCCAGGAGCTGTGACTCGGCCCCTGCAACCACAACTAGGTGAGTACTGACAAAACACACACACACACCACACACACGCACACACCACACACACACACACACACCCCACACACACACACACACACACCCCACACACACACACACAGTCACACACACACACACACACACACACACACACACACACACACACACACACACACACACACACACACCCCACACACAGTCACACACACACACACACACACACACATATACACACACACACACGCGCGCGCACACACACACACACACACACACACACATACACACACACACACTCACACACACTCACACACACTCACACACACACACACACCACACACAAATTTATATATATATATATATAATATATATATATATATAATAATATATATAATATATATTATATATATATATATTATATATATAATATATATTGTGCATGTGCTAGAATAAAAAAAAAACAGTGAAAAAACAGTGAAATTCCACGATGTGGCACTGGTCCCCAGCGTGAAAACCTTTAAACACTCAGCTGCTGCTGCCTTATAACGTTAGGCAGCTTTCTTGAGTTCAAGCCATGTTTCTTCCTATCCCCGTGCACACCAGTAATCTCTTGTTATGAGGCATCTATATCTGAGGGGTTTAAGGTGGGAGCTAAACCATACTCGTAGACAGCACACTACAACAGTGCCGCATGTTTAGAATCTTCCAGCGTTTTATAAACTTTAGCAAATTTTTAATTCGGACACTCCGAATCATTTTCATAACAAGTCAATGATAGTCATTGACACCATTGAAAAAGAAATATATGCTGATTAATCTTTTTAAAAGGTTTTCGATATCCAGTGTATTTGTATTGCATGCCTCATCATTGGCATTATGGAGCGTGCAATGTAAATTTCACCTGTAAATTTGTTTCAATGCAAATAGATGTAGTGAAGACTAAGGGCAGGTTCTCTCAGGTGATATAAATACGTGACTTGAATGTTTCAATACCTTCTATGAACTTTAAACAGAATAGGTGTATATCGGTGGCAAATACTTTAACCAAAGATAATAAAGTAAACAGGGATGTTTAGATCCTTACGGTCTTGTACAGGAGGCTGCGTTGAGTGCTTGCATCTCCTGCCCTCCATCTTGCAGCTGCATATGTTGCTGCAGTTGCATACCGAGCTGCGGATGAGGCAGGTCGAGCAGGTCAGGATACTGTTTACCGCTCCCTAGAGACACCTGAGATACTGAGCGACTACACACTCTATGAAGAAAGATATCCTTGTGACACACCGCGTCTTTCCACTGGCCTCTGTCGAGGGTGGTGTGTCGCATACCACAAACATCGAGTTTAGGACTCTCAACGAAGGCGACAGTCGCTGCCAGTGCTTGTGCGCCGGAGCATTCTGGCGGTTCTTGTCTGGCGGGTTCGGCAGCGCTCATATCAATGACACTGCCAGGAGGAAAGTCTCCCGAAGCGCGTCTATGTCTGACGTTCCAGGAGGATTCAGGAACTTGTCTGCAGGGTGAAGACTCCTCGAGGTCACTGGATGGTACCATGTGGTATCCGGCCAGCTTGTGAGGAGCCTCACATTCAGAGCTCCTCGATGACTGAGCTGTCTCGACACTGTCTTCGTCCTGCCGCTGAACACGACTCACTCGAACCTTGCAGTACACTATGCTACATACGAGAAGTAACACCAAAATAAGTATGGAGATTCCCCCTAACAGACCCTCCTTTATGTAACTAACGTCGATGTTCGCGACTCTAACTTCGGCTACTTCGTGCGACACCTGAAGAGTGAAGTTGGTCTCCCCTAACCCAGCTCTGTTCTCCGCTACACAGCGATACGTGCCCTGATCTTCAGACACGACATCAGTAATAGTCAAGTTTGACACATAAGACATGTTACTTGAGGTCACTAGATCCACTACAAAGTACCGTTGCAGCTCACTATCATTGTACAGAGGAACGTCACCCATGTACCACGTGACTGTCGTCTCCACCTCAGTTTCCACCCGACAGAGCAAAGACACATTTTCTCCGTGGGCTGCCAGGACCCTAGGAGCAAGAGCTGTGACCTGCGGTGCGCATAGGAATTCATCCTGGCCCAGCAGCTGCCAGTCGTGCCCCATCAGCCACTTAGGATGTGAACAGGAAGGCGGCACTGATGCAGCCATATTACGATCATGAAACCAGTGACGGAGTGATCGTAAATGGCAGTCACAGTGCCAGGGGTTGCCATCGACTCTGATCACTCGTAAGAGCACCAGCGGCTCAAGTTCACTGGCATTCAGATAAATTAGTTTGTTATAAGCCAGGTTCAATATTTCCATTTCCGTCAGGTTTCGTATGGCTCCTGTCTCGATTGTGTGTATTTGGTTGTGGCTGACATCAAGCTGGACGATGTGTGGGGTGCGAATAAAAGCAGAAGAGGAGATCGATGTGAGGGCATTGTGAGCTATGCGAAGTTCCCTCAAGCCCAACATGTCCATCAGGGCCGCAGACGGTATCGACCGTAGCTGGTTGTTGCTTAGATCGAGCTCCATAATGTTTTCGACTCCGTTGAACGCCCCTTTATCCAGGAGTTTCAGATTGCAGTGGTTGAGCATCACTTTCTGGAGGCTGCGGAGGCCCGTGTAGACGAAGGAGTCTCGGGGGAGGATCCTCAAGTTATTGTGACTGAGATCCAACACTTGAGTTGAGGGTTCGATCCCGCGAGGAATGTCGATGAAATGTGCGTCCCGACACGCCACCATCTGTTTACCGTCGCGCCAGAAGCACTCGCACACTTTGGGACACCCGCCCCACACACCGAGACCCAGCCACGCCCACACCCACACACACGCCCACACTGAAGCCGTGCGCGTCCTGGGCTGACACAGAGTTGCGTGTTGACCTTGTGATGTGCACATGATCTGTAGGGTGCGGGGGCGTCCGTGGGGGCGTGGGCGTGGACAGCGTCATGCCGCCCGCATCGCTCCTCACCTCACCACCATCCCCGCCCATCCACCTCACAACACACAGCTGGAGGATGTGATGCTGGCACACAGTCCTCCGTAAATTCACTGGTTCTTCATGCCTCGTGTGTGCAGCGGTGCCACACCCACAGGAGCACCACAATCCTCCACCACACAGTGTTGCCATGCGGCAACCATTCTTCTTTGGGTTTTGACGTTACCAGCTTCACATCAGTCTGCGCCGTGTCCACCATTAATCTTCAGGCCAGTCTGGAAAGAGAGGGAGAATCATAATCGCGAAATGCACATATGTTTACTTTAAGATAATGGCTTCACCGAAACCTTTCATTAGATGTAATATTTGACAATTTAAAACGTTTGATACCGGGCAGTCGCCATCCTAGTCTACCAGACTGAACAAAAACGACTGTTATGATCTTAAAAATATTTCTGGTAATATACCATTATAATTCCTGCATGAGTATTTATTTATACCGAGAAATGAATATTTATCGGTGTATATGCATTTAGAGAAATAAACAGTGAGTTTTTAATCTATATTTAGGGATTAAAGTATTTATGATTGTGCGCAGGAGAAATGCATTCTTAATGACCATAGCGCAGCCGCTATAGGCTTAAACTCATTAAAACCATATCACGGATGGGGTTAGAACCCGTGATCAGAGAGTCGTAAAATTCCAGACCGTCGCGTTAGCCACAGGGCCAGCTAGCCACAATAAGATTCACCCAACTAGGCTAGCTGGCCCAGTGGCTAACGCGTCGGCCTGGGGTTTTAAGATTCTCTGATCGCGGGTTCTAACCCCACCCGTGGTATTGGTTGTTTGCAATCGTGTCATTACGATTTTGTGAGTCACGTTAAACTCATTAAAAAAAAAAAGCAAAAGACTAATTATATAAACATCACAGCACACTCCCTAAATTCTATAAAAATAAAGGATTTGGGTAAACTTTCAGAATTTATATACATAGATACATAAACCTCTCGGTGTATATAGTATACCCCGTTTTCATCTGAAGTCTCATTGTCGCTCTATACAAGGATTCAGAGATGATACGTCTAGTGTGAGTGATGTTACGGTCAGAATTGTCACACCACCGAAGGGAAGAGGGTGGTTAGTTAAGTGACACATGTCTCTTATTGCAGAGTGAGAAGGGAAAGGCAAAAAGGGAAAGATTTACTCACATGTTACCAGACGCTGTACATAAAATTCCGCGAAGTTCTATTCACACTTAATAGACAAACCGGACTTCGGGCCACAAGGCATTATTGGATCCACTTTCTTCTAAAAACACTAAAATTATGATGATTAGCGAATACTGAGTGTCAGTCTGCTGAAAGAAATATTTCACTATGCGTTACTGTTCTTCGCGACAATGAAAACTCAGAATTCCTAAGATAGTTTAAATTGTTTAATAAACCTTTGGGACTGTTTAAGTAAATGGAGATGATACAAATATATTGTTCGAAACCTTACTCAGCACACATAGGCACATAAAAACAAAAGAATGGAGGAACACTGAAGAAGGCACACTGGCCCGTATAAAGCAGGTCTTTATCAAAACTACCTCGTCCCAAAGCTATCCAACGACACCAGTGAAACCCAGACCCTCCCACTCATATTTGTCCAATATCTTTTTAAAGCTACCCAGACTTCTAGCCTCGATTAACCTACTCAGAAGACTGTTCCACGCATCGACAGCTCTGAAAACCAGTACTTAGCTATGTCCTTACGAAATATAAGTTTATCTAACTTATATCCGTTATTTCTGGTTCTTACATGATTCGATATTTCTCAGCATTTTATTAATATCACCTCTGCTTATGTCTATTATTTACTTATACACTTCGATGATATCTCTCATTCTACGTTTCTCAAGAGAGTGAAGATTCAAGGATTAGTGATGTATTGTTTGTAATGGCTTGATAAAGCTCCTGGAGAGCGAAACGTTGCCACAATAAATGTCACATTAGTTGCACTTGTGTCCTTTTACTTTACATGAATAGAGCTGTAAAATAACTTTTGGACTCCCGTTACTTATACTTCTTGAAACAAATCGAAGTAATCTGTTAGACTTATTGCGCACACTTAGGCACTGTTGTCTTGGTTTCAGATTTCTGTTCATCATGACTCTCAAATCCTTTTCACACTCCGTGTGACCCAGCTCTACATCACCTAGTTTATAACTTCGAAGGTTGTTTTCATTCCCAAGGACTAGGACTTTACACTTTTCCATACTGTACTTCATCTGCCACTTTCCAGACTTAGATATCAAACAGCTCATAACCTGAATGTGTATCATATGATATTGCTAAACATTTTGGACGAAAACTAAAAGTAATTTAAACTTAGACTAGTAAAAGTTAGTTGACTTATACAGTAATTGTAAATGTATTTACTATTCGTTATCAAGGTATCTAGAAATGCCAGCGTTGAATTTTCTTTAATTTCACAGGTAAATATATATATTTTTTTTTGTGTTTGGAGAATAGAAATATCGCAAATATACCCACAAGCTATGGTTTTTAAAAAGTAGAGAATCATCAATGTGCCAACAACAATACAATCTTTGAAGGCAAGTGTATAACTAACCATTTTGCTTCTGCACTGGACAAGCACCTAAAGTCAGTACCTTACCAACCTGGCTGTGGTTCATACGTCAGTTTGAGTGCAGCCAGCAGTAACAACCTGGCTGATCAGACCCTGATCCACCATGAGGCCTGATCTCAGATCGAGCAGCGGGGGCGTTG